TCATAAAACAGTCACACTTATACTTTTCATGGTCAGAAATGGCTGCAATAGGAAATAAAATAAATAGGGAATGAGAAAAAAATAAATATAAGTTTTTCTTCAATTTTTTCTTATAAATAATGCTTTATGTTCAGATTTTACTGTAATAATAATGCAAAAACGGACACTATAATTGAACATATAAGCACCAATCTGCCTCCATTCATTTGATCTTAAATATAAAAAAATATTTTATCTAATATATATATACAGTCTATGATATATATGTATATGTATATATATATGTATATATATGTGTGTGTGTCGTAAATGGTTGCTGGGGCGTGGCTTGACAGCCTCACAATGATCCTGAGAGACTGATTGGTTGCCTGAGTAAAATGAAACCACCCCAATATGTCTGTATGACATTGTCATCTAGAGTTATGTTCAATGCAAAATGCCTATGCAAGTTACCATAGTTGGAAAAATATTTGCGCTCAGTTCCTTTACCATAGTATGTCAATGGGGCAATTTCTGGTAGCAGTTGTGCCCCAGGGGTAGGCCTACAACTTATACCCCATTGCGAGGTATGTTCTCACACAGCTTGCCAGGCTCTTCAAATGTGGTAATCCACGTGTTTCTATGAAATCCTCGTTCGGCGCTATGACCCGTCAAAGTTGGACACATTGTTAAGTCTATGGAAGTCATAGGCATAGCACACCTCTGCCAAGTTTCTAACAGTATTTAACATATATTCACCTATGATTAAAAGGATGTCTTAAAAATAAAATACAAAATCAAATAAATGTTCTATGTAAATGAATACATTTGAATTACTGTATAATTCTTTATTTATAAGCCAGTATATATATATATATATATGATGTAAGACTTTTTTGGAAAGAAGTGCTAAATTATTAAATGTTGTCATTGTATCTTGCCAGAGTCCCTTAGTTCTAATGTTCATGACAGTTATATATGTGTGTGTGTGTGTGTGTGTGTGTATATATATATATAATATTTAAATAAATGGTGCATAATTTAGAAGTGAATATATAGAACACAACTTGAAGCAGAATTTTCACAGCCAAGCAGTCCTTACTCTCATCTAAACATTAAAATGTAGAATGTAATGGGAAAAGTATTCCAAAATCATCACACCCATTATATTTCTCATATATTTTATCTTTATTTATTTATTTAGGCTACTCTTAGATAATGATTTCATGTAATTTGTGTGCTTAACTCTGCAGTGCTTAACGTCTGCTGCTGCGCACATTAATAAATCCCAAAATGTGTTTGAAAAGATTCTTAGATCAGGTCGGCACAAGTTATTTTGTGCTGTACATGTATCAATGAATTTATGAATAACAACGAACTGGAGATTTTTCTTTCCCTTGTAAGCCTTCCGCACGCTATTTTTTCATTGGCTTTCAAAGAATGGTACAAAATTTGCCAAAACACTTGACAAAATGTGGAAAGGACATATCCCACACGCAAGCGCGACCTCCCCTCATCGACACAATACATATCGGCACATGAAAACATATACGCGTTTTAACCCTATTAACTTTTTTTTAACAATGAAAGTTGACACTGACACTGTTAAAGAAAAAAAACAGGAAAATCATTAATGGAGGTGCTGGTGCTATGTAAACTTCTGGTTAATATTCATGAGGCGTGCTTTTGTGCTCGCTTTGAGCCAATCACCTAAATCTGAATGACGAGCGTCACGTCACGTGATTAATATTCATGAGCCAAGCCTTTCTCGTAGTAGGATTGGTAATGTCGCCACCCGGAAGTCTAATTTAGAAATGTTTGTCCGAGCGTTTTCTTAAATCAGAATCTTTTTTTCCTTTATGCGTGATGATTGATCAGGCAGTGTGATGGAGTCTGAGCGTACCTCGGCTTATGGCGTGCGTATAAACATTTTATTTCGATTGCTGTTTTTCACGAGAGCAGCTGTAATACAACTACTCATTTCCAAATCGCCCTGATATGACAGACTGTTGCTTTGATGTGTATGGTTTATATGTACTGTTAAGTAACACACTTGTTTGTCTGAGCTGCTGCTGCTGTTTTTGGTTGTCTGTATGTTGTGTGTGTGTATTTGTGTAGTAGAAGAATATACACTGCACTTATGATCAGAGTTAAACTCCTTTCGGTGACTCTTATGTCAATAGCTCTTATGTGGCTGCTATTCGTATCACCAAATGTTTTGATAATGGCGCCATTCCCTAGGTCGTTCAACTGGTGAAAGGAGCCTTTTACAGAATGTTTTTGTAATAGTGAGTCATTATTAGGCCCTAATACAGTTTATTCATTATCACTTTGAAATGCATGACTTCAAAGTAACATTTAATGCCTGCAAAGCAGCTTTCAGCTAATTGCTGTAGTGTATTATGGATGCTATATTACAACGCACAGTCTAACCTGTATGTGTCTGTTTTGTTTCTGTGGCCAGAATAACACAAATGTAGATTTTACTCAAAGCACTGACGATGACCCTCTTATTGATGGACCACTAATATCCCAAGATGTACTGGAGTCAGTGATTAAGAGAGAGTTTCAGAAATTACCCACTCATTGGGCAGTGGGTGTCCTCTCGTTTTTACACGTGAGTATAAAAACAGTTTTCACTGCACTTACTTGAGAAGGATAATGACTTAACTTAAGATTTAACAATTTTTAGATAATTTAATTGAAAAATAAGACACAAATGGTGAGTATTATCAATGTTAAATGTTGCTCCACAAAGGAAAATCACTTAAAAACATGACAGTTTGACAAGAATCTTTAACCTTAAAGGGGTCATATGATGCGATTTCAATTTTTCCTTTCTCTTTGGAGTGTTACAAGCTCTTGGTGCATAAAGAAGATCTGTAAAGTTGCAAAGACTAAAGTCTCAAATCCAAAGAGATATTCTTTATGAAAGTTAAGAGTCAACCACGCCTACCTAAAACGGCTCGTTCTAACACACCCCACATGTCTACGTCACGATGTGAGAAGATTTGCATAACGCCGCCCAAACGTTCACGCAAAGAAAGAAGGCGTAACTTATATTCTCGCTGTAGTATTGTTGCAAGACTGTGGTGTTACTGGGAAAAGTTTCACTCTGGGTGATGGTCTTTATATATGATAGATTTGTTCAGCATCACCACAGCGCCGTGAGACGGAGAGGTTATCTGGACTTCTACAGACTGACCCGAGGAATAAAAAACCTTCCACTGCTTATTCACTCTGCAGGTAAAAAAAAAAGATGTTTCACACACACTATTTTAATTTCCCCCACCACCGTTTTTTTACCACTTCATAAAGTCAATCTCTATTAATAGAATCTTTTGCTAATACTGATGCTAAAGTGCTCTTTCAGTCACGTCCAAATAGCTGTTATATTTCACAAATGGCCACTAGATGGCAGCACAGAAGCTATCGTTAAATATATATTGATGATGAAATTTAATAGTTTATGCACAGTTGCTTTCATTTATTGTCATAAATACACTTCATGACTAAGTCTAATTGTTTTTTTCTCTCTCTCATTTTCTAATATGGTAAATTTACAGCACCGTTCCAAAAAGTTTTTTTAATAAAGAAATTAATAAGATAAGAAATTAGAAAGGTGCATTAAATTGATCAAAAGTGACAAAGATTTTTTAATTCTTGCAAAAATAAATGAACTTTTAAATAAATGCTGCTCTTATGCACTTACTATTCATCAAAGAATCCTGAAAAAGTATCACACTTTCCAAAAAAAAATATTAAAAAGCACAACTGTTTTCAGCATCGTTATTAATAATAAATGTATCTTGAAAAGCAAATCAGCATATTAGAATGATTTCTGAAGGATCATGTGAGACTGGAGTAATGATGCTGAAAAAAAATTAACATATATTGATGTATTTTTGATCAATGAATGCAACCTTGGTGAGCATAAGAGACTTCTTTCAAAACCATTAAAAAAATCGTGCCAACCCCAAACTTTTGAACAGTAGTGAATGTCTTAGTCAATAATTGTGAATCATACCATAATACTCAATGTGATTTGAACTGAACCACGACCAAATTTCAGATTTAATGCGGTTTATCATTTAGTAAAGAAGCCTAATCAAATTAAATTATATATATATTATATAAGTAAATATTATTATATACAGGAATGGATTTTTAATGGCTGGTACAGATATCAGTGGTTAATATAAAGCAGAATTGCTCTCTTTTTCTCTCTTACATAGGTAATGCAGCGATCCTGACTGTAATTGCTCCATCCTCTATGCTGGATGCAAGTGTGAAGAATCTGTCTGTATATCTTCTGTTGGCCATCATCTGTCTGGAGCTACTGCTGTCAGTTATATGCTTGCTTAGATATACAGGTGCTCACACATACACACAAGATTTCTTCATCATTCATTCTGAATGATATTTCTGCATAGTTAATAACACAGAATCCTACACCAAACATTCCCGTTTTTCACATTCCTATACGTGCACACAGGGTCCAACATTTATTTTTTATTTTTTTTGCCACACCCTGACAATGGCAATAAGCATATCTCACTGGCCATGAAACTGAAGTTTTTTTTAACTTTTTTTTTTGTTTGTTTCTTTTTTTTGTTCTTCTGGCAGTGGAATTATGTGGGTTTGTTTAGTTTATTTATATAAAACATTGGTCATTTTGTAACTCACATCATCATATTATAACCTGTTCTCTGAAATGCTACTGCTCAAAATATACACTCATTTTGATGGCTAATTGCAAGTAATAGTACATGCACCCCTTCCCCCAGCATGCATTACAATACCCAAGCTTCTGTCCTTACCCCTTTAGAAACCCACCAGGCAGCTGTTGTCCCTCTCATCCCCTTTTTCCTGCATTTTGTGCTCCTTATGATAAAATAACAAACAGTTCTTTGCTCTCCCGTGGTAAGAAATGGAGATGTTTGAGAGAATGTCAAAGAGAAGGACCATGATTTGGGGGAAGAGGCTTGTTATGGACATACGGCTCATCTTTGCCAAAGGCAACCTGAATCCACCCCACCCTAATACACCATGGCATTGTCTTTACTGTTGACACACACACACACACACATTCTCGTATCAGTGCCTGGATTCCAGAGATGATTAGTGAACTGAAGCTTGACCACATGTTATCTATAGAGACACACCCTCACTCGCTCACTTCATTCTCAATGAGTCTATCAGCAGATTTCACCCCATGTCTCCTATATCACTCTGAATTATGCATGAGGTGAGGGAAATGTTTTAGATGCTTGTTTATGTATTTATATGTGTATACACAAGCGTTCAAAAGCTTGTGGTCAGTATAATATTCTTTTTTTAATTATTATAAATACTCATAATTAATGCTTTTATCTTGCAGGAATGCAGGAATGCATTAAATGAAAAAATGTATCACAGTTTCCACAAAAAATGTTAAGCAGCACATCTGTTTTCAACCTTAATAATAATGAGAAATGTTTCTTGAGCAGCAAATTAGCATATTCAAATGATTTCTGAAGGATCACGTGACACTGAAGACTGGAGTAATGATGCTGGAAATTCAGCTTTGCGTCACAGGAATAAATTACATTTTTAAAACGGATGTATTAAAACAGAAAACCGTTATTTTAGATTTTCATACTGTTTCACAAAATCACAGTTTTACTGTATTAAATGCAGCCTTGGTGAATATAAGACGCTTCTTCCAAAAACATTTAAAAATCTTACAAACTCCAAACTTTGAATGGAAGTGTATGTGAGTAAAAAAATTCAAAATCTGGAAATAATGTTTTGTGAAATTAATAAGAAATATGTAATATTCTGCTCCTTTTCTGTTTTTGTTTTTGCTTCCATTGATGCTCTTTGGAACATTTAAAAATCTTGTGGATAACATGATCAACAGAACAGAATTCATTATGCTTAAAAGCTTCTGCATAATGACCAAACTCTCAAATTATTAATTTCAACTTTTTCACTTAAATTATGCTGCTAATATAATTTGTAATAAACAATAAAAAAAAAAAATTTTAATGAAAAAAATGGCAGTAGACATAATAGGTGAATGTAATTACCGTACATCTACAAATTTACGAGACTCCCACATGAGATTATTCCCAAAAGAATAAACCCAGGTCTCAATCAAAAACCCTTTATTTTCCACACATTTATTTATTGTGCTAACGAGTGATCTCTATCCATTTAACCACCGTTTATCTCCTCCTATCCATATATCCATCTCTCTGTCCCTTTCCTAAAGGAAGGTGCAGTTAGGTCAGAGTCGTGCTCCAGGGTCTTTGAAGTGTCTTCTGTGATGTTGTATCTCTGCCTCTCTCTCTTCATTTGAACATGAATGCAGCGTTTTGTATGGGCCGTATGCCGCCTCTGCACTTCAAAGGAAGTTTAGGGCCCTTCAAAGGGGGCGAGGGAGGTGATTGGGACCCGCATTGTTTTACCGCGATGCACGGACAACATGCGCTTGTCGCGTCCAGATGCGCTCAAGGAAGGCATTAGAGTGGAATGCTGAAATATGATGCTTGAGGGAATGTAATGATTTGAAGTGTGCATTATTTTTCATTCCTAGCTTTAGAATGAATGCCGCTTGGATATGTCGCACAAAAGTGCTAAATGTTTCGATGCCCTGGACTTCTGTGCAACATTGTGTTAGAATGCAAATGAATTATTGACCGTTAGCTTTGTGTTATTATAATGGTGTTTATTTTTATGGTGTCTTTTGTGGAGGGAAGCACCACTGTTTAGCGGAGATATAAGGAATGTGGCACGTATATCAGAAAGACTCGCTCTTTCTCTTTAAAAACATTCTTTAAAGACTGTTCTTGATGTGTGGTGACAGAACTGACAAATTACCCTTAATAACCTTCCAGCATTACATATCTAAACTCACATAAATTAACTGCTTAAGCTTCATTTACTATTATAGGTTGCATTTATATGGCACTTCAGAGCAAGAGAAAAGGTGTGCATTATCTCTAAAGAGGGAATCCCTGACCTCCTTCCTGCCCAACTCAATGGCCTGTTGGCCCCCATTTCCTGCAGGTGATTGAAGAAAGAGCAGTTTTATCTGATTGGTGTGTTTGTGATGGGTTGGCCAGGTGTGGGTCAGGAACAACGCTGAGGTGTTTGTGTATGTGTGTTACTGTTTTTGGTGATTATGGTCTAATTAGAATGTATTCAGAGACCCTGAGATATTTTCCACTTTGATTATCTTTAGACAGATGTGTTTAGAACTGTTTGATCCGATAGCACAAGCTATCTTATGCATTTTAAAGGTGAAGAATGTAATTATTTCAGTATTAGAATGCAAAGAGAAATAGAAGTATCGTCTCATAACATCGCAAATGTTGCTCTGGTGATTTTTGTCAACTGTTTGACACGTCATCGCTCAAGACATAAGGCATCTGCCATCAATTGCTATCAAACTGTGTGTATGCCGTAAACTAAGTAATACTACATTTTTAAAAAGAGCCATTTACATATTACATTTAATAGAAGAGCCATACTGGCTACACCAGCTACCCCCCCCCAATCTGCACTATTTTGACATCATGCACTTATTGTGAACTCTAGAATCTTGAGTTCAGATTCTGATTGAATCAGCTTAAACTTGCTGTGCTGTCGTAGTGTATGGAGTGAAAATTTTGCTGATTGAGAGGCACATTAAAGGTGTGAGAGAGGAGGGAAGTGACGTGTGAAATCACACAGTTGCCCTGCTTTCTCACGCTCACAAAACACACGAGCCACGCGTCTACTAGCACACCTTACGGTGAAGAATATCCGCGCTGAACGTGACTCCTGCTCACACACACTGAACGTGTGTCTTCACACACCTACACTGCAAAAAAAATTCCGTAAAATTTACGGTAAAAAACCGGCAGCTGTGGTTGCTGGAATTTTACCGTAAAAAATACAGTAGCAACGTTTTAGGTTTTACGACGTTAAAGCGTGTCTTGCATCGTCAGACACACCACAGCTATCAACATTTCTGTCTGATTTTTCAATGGTAAATACTTTGCCTGTTTATTATGTTAAAGGAGGAGTTAGTATAAGAATGAGAGTGTAAAGGAAAAGATGGATTATAAAAAAGTTTAGCTTAGTTCCAGATTGAAATGGAGAAAAAAATTCCTAGATTTTCTGCTGTCAGACTTTTGGACCCTGCCGTATATTGAAATTACTGTGAGGAAGGACGTGTGAGAGGGCGTTGGAGAAACAAATGAGAAAACTACGTTCTTGTTAATTTTGTATATTTATCATCTTGTTTTCTGTGTGTTTTAGTACATGTGGTGAAGTTTAATAGCAAGAAGCCACATCCTGATGTGACGGAAGAAGAGCGCTCTCATGCCTGCTCCAGCGGATCACATACAGAGACAGGCTTCAGGTAAAACACATTGGTGAAAGAGCCATATATATATATTGACCAGAGATATTAATCCGTTTATATTTGGTCATTTTGAGAAGCCATTTAGAAAAGTATTAGTTTCCTGTTGTGTCAGCTCCAAAGTAAACCCACAGCCTTTGTAAGTGGATAATGTGCATTTTTTATAGTACATTTTTTTTTCATTTTCAATTTAATTTGTCTACTCTCTCGAAGAACGTATATTGGTCGACCAGTAGCACATATACAAATTGTCCTTGGTAAATGATCAAAGATGCGTTGTTCTAAAAAATATTGTCTGATAAATTTCACTTTTTAATGATATCTGTCCAATAAATAAAACAGGTTGGTAATGATTCATAGAATTAGTTTATTATAAAATTAAATAAATAATGAAATCAGCAGCCTATTATACTTTACATTGGAAAACTGCTCTTCATTTTAAATCAAATAGGCTACAACAGCAGAAAGTTGCAGTCTTTTTTGAACCTTTGGAATATTAAAATATATATGGTACCATTTAAAAGTTTGGGAACAAGGCAAGGCAAGTTTATTTATATAGCACATTTCATACACAATGGTAATTCAAAGTGCTTTACATAAAAGAAAATAAAAAAATAATCACAACAATAAAACAAGGAATTTAAAAACTTTGAAAATGATTAAAAAATTGATTTAAGAGGTTTAAAATAAATTTATTACAGTTAAGAATAGAAAACGATTATACATACAATATAGTGCAATCAGTTAGGACAATGCACAGTGTTCATTCAATAAATGTGCGGAGTCAATGGGGCTGTAGTCATTTGGAGATAAGGCTAAGTAAATCTAGCCTTACTTGAACAGTAAGATTTTTTTTTTATATACTTTTATTCGGCAAGGATGCATTAAATTGATCAAAAGTGACAGTAAAGACTTTCACATTGTTACAAAAATGCTAATAAATAATAATAATAATATATAATAAAATAATAAATGCTGTTCTTTTGCTGTTCGTTTCTTGAACACCAAATCAGCATTAGAATAATTTATGAAGGGTCATGTGACACTGAAGACAACTGAATAATGAATATTTTGTTAATAAATATTTTATGTATATTCTAGCCAAATAATCATTTTCAAAAACAAACAAACAATAAATAAATAATGAATGAATGTTTTCTTAGACCCTGTATGATTTTTTTTTTGTCCATGTCACAGTTTTTTATTTTTATTTTATATTTTTGTACATTTTTAAAAGAAAGTTGGTCCATATGGATGTATAATTTCTTCATTCCAGTGATTCATAGTAGGCCTACATTAGTTAAATGATTGTAGTTTATGAAAGATCGTTTTCTACACTTACACCTGTTTTAAAATAAAAAGCAGTTTTCCACTATAGACGTTTGGTGTCTCGCAAAATGTGGATTCATATCTCATGCTGACCAATATATAGTTATCTGTATCTCCCAGAACAGTCTGTGCTGCTGGGGCATCCCTAAATATAAGGTGTTTTCTGTGTGGCTAATGTTTTCATAGGCACACACACACTGACATTTCAATCCCATGTGCTGTGGACAGTTCAGACAGGTGCACATGTGTTCTGTGGTTTATTTCACAGGGACGGCTCCAGTTTGGAGGATGTGGTGGAAAAGCAGGCGGACCTGATTGATTATCTCAAACAGCACAACAGCGTCCTGAGCAGGAGGATCCTCACGCTGACCGCCCAGCAGATCAGAGCCTGACCCATGCAAACCGAGCGAGTGACTCATGATGGGCTCTGAAGCCTTGCGTGCGAGTGTGTGTGTGTGTGTGTGAGCGTCTATCTTGACTGGCATCGGCAGCCATGGCTCACTGATCAGAAGGCTTTTGGTGGGAAATGAACCCTGGTAACCTCTCTAACAACGCTTTCACGTTTCCATGACGACAAGTCTGGGTAGACAATGGCTGCAATTAGGAAGTCAAAAAACTGCTGCAGAAATGATCAGTAAAGATGCTCATTATGAGTTTATGGGATAGCGAGATCTAATCAAACTAAAAGCTTTATCGTGTAACTTGTGGTTTTCCTTGTTCGTGCCTGTGAGAGCATGAATAAGAGGGTACAGCGATAGTTAATCATACTTAATTGCTGCAGAAATGTTCAGTAAAGATGCTCATTATGAGTTTATGGGATAGCGAGATCTAATCAAACTAAAAGCTTTATCATGTAACTTGTGGTTTTCCTTGTTCGTGCCTGTGAGAGCATGAATAAGAGGGTACAGCGATAGTTAATCATACTTAATTTGGTTTCTTTAGTGTGTCATTGGTGTTTGTGTGTAAGAAATGTATCAGAATGATGTTTCTTGTGGTATGTATGTGTTGGAGCCATTCTCAAAACATGACCGCTTTAGTCCTGATGCTTGATGTCACAGATGTTATGAACTACTGTCTTTTGTGTGAAGTAATGTGAATAAAATGATTGAAACTACTTTTTGGAATAAAATTTCCACAGATTTTATTGAATTAGGTTGGTTGAGTTTTTAATGTGCTCACGGTTTGATGATTAAAAAAGGGTCAAGATAAAGAAAGAGGTAAGATAATACTAGATTAAAATTTTGTTTAAAACACATCAGGTACTTAGACAAAATATACTTTTTGTATGTTGGTTACATATGGTTTTGGAAAACTTAGATACGGTGTTCAACCAAGTAATAATCAAAATGCTTAATATTATTTCAAGTTTAAGTTTTTAGACATTTTATGATATAGTGAAAGAATTTTAAACATAAAATTAAGATCTTTTGTTACAATTATTAGTAAGTATTATAATTATTTTAAGTGTATAGTTTTTGAAGGGTTGCACCACATGACATTTCACAGTTAAAAAAAAGGAAAGATTTTATTTTAAGAGATTTAATGATGTTGACAGTTGTGAGGGTCCTCTCTGATATCACAAATTCTTTTTTCATGAAATTGTGTGTGTGTGTGTGTTTGTGTGTTTTCTTAACTCCAGACTAGCTCTGGCTTATGTGGGGGTCATAGAGTAAAGGTTAAAGGTGACAACCTCTCCAGAATGTCTGAAAACAGTAGGCGGCTCCGGTAGGCTGTCACAGTGCCCCCACAGATACAGTGTCACATCACACACACATTTCAACATGAACAACCACCCAAATTTGAACTGTTGAGTAACATATAGCTTTTAATGTAAGAACCATCTACAAGCTGTACTGTAAAGAAAAAACACCAGGTGTTTCTGAGGACTGGCATTACTAGGTGTCCCACCAAAGTTTTACAGTGTGTGTGGCAGATAGTTAAAATGGGGTGTATTTACGGGGGTAGGGCTTTTCTCGTCCGGCTGTGTGTCTCTGCTCAGGCTATGCAGGTTTCCACTCTTTTGTGTGTGTGTGGGTGGGTGTGGAGTGTTTGTGTTTACTCCCCATCTGAGAGAAAGTCGCATGGCTATAAAGATCCAATAATTTCCCAGCTCATTTAGTCCAGGGTATTTACCCAAAGTCTCTCTGTTTGTTTCGGCTGTGGCTTAACGCCCAGATTACAATGGAGTGGTACCCAGCTAACAGAGAATGTTCTCTCTAAGATATGAACAAACATTTTTCCAGTAGCATTAATAGAATGTTCATTCAAAGTTGCGTTCTCAAAACATTAGCAATACATTATCTATACATCGTTTATGGAATGTTTCTCTGAAATATTTTTTAGTTGGATGTTCGTTTAACGTTTGCTAGTTTCAGATGGTTCAGAGACCATTCAAAAGTAACATTCCCATAATGTTCTCTTAATGTTGTCCCCTACATTTGCATAACCAAGATTTTTTTTTTTAAACATTAAAAAATCTGAACGTTAGCAAAACATTATTTTTGTTAGCTGGGTAAATGGTATTCTTAAATTAAGTGCACGCATTTGTTAGGCAAGACTCAATTTGTGTTGTCAAGGAGTCACTAAAGTAATTTGTGGTATTTCGCGATTATTTGTCGGCAAATACTTCCAGGTGGAGTCAGAATTTGGGTTTCCTAATGATGCTCCCCTTTTTCAATATTTGCTCATTCCTCAGAGTAATAAAAGGGAATAAGGTGAACTGAAATCTTACCTCAAGGGAATGGCACTCTGGAGTGAAGAGGTAGACAGCGCTTCTTTGGACATTTGTGTCTGCGATATTTCCGCCTCAGGTTGAGAAAATCTTTAAAGGGAGGAAAAAAAACACTTTGTTAGGGCTATAAACTATTATTAAACTTATATTTAATGCCAAGTCAAGTCACATATAGTGCTTTATACAATACAGATTTTTTTTAAAGCAGCTTCACAGTAATAAAAAAAAACAGTATTAGTGTTGCAAAGTTCTTCAGGTATAAAACGAGCACAATGTCAGCTGTAAAGCAGCTCTAAAAAGACAGTATTGGCATTATGCGGCTAAGTTTAATTCAGTTTAGCTCAATAACAGTATTATGTTGCAAAGTTCATTACGATGAATATCAATAATTCAAAAGAGATCAACCATTGTTTTACTATATTTATTCTAAAATTGACAATTTGATATTTTGGGGGGGTTGGGGAGATATGCATCCCTTGCCCCCCAGAAACCCCTCCCCTGATTGGGGTGTTACCTGGAATAATTTCAAAATGAATGGTCTCTCCAGTTGGTAACAAACAATCTGGAGGGCAATATAACAATCAGAGGTTCTTGTGATAGCGCTCATGTCACTTCCCTCCACAAGCAGCTATTAGATCCTCTCCCAGAGGCGCAAGGCCAATGGCACGGTGCGCACGGGAGGAGAGCCGGGTACTTTTATATCTGCCTTTGACTAAAGCTATGCGAACTCCATGCACCTCCCTCTCTTTCTCTCTTTCACCGCAGTAACCCTATGCTAATGCATTATACCATTGTGCTCAACATCATGACTAACAATGGACGCCGGTGCTTGATCGCCCACGGGCACCAGATTAATTGCGCATAGCCGCCACAGCAGCGGGAGATGAGAGTGTATACACGTAGGCTAAATTACATTTAGTTACAGTATACCAATGTGCCTGAGTGTTTAGATAATCGCAAAACTACGTTAAGTAGTGTCAAATAAATTGGTCTCGTGCGTAAATGCGGTTTATTTCCAGCTTTGCGATAACATCAGTTTAAAATTGCATTGTTATATTTAGTATAGAAGTGCAAATTGTAACATTTATTCCCAAATCAAGGGTCAAGTGAAGTCTTTGTGAAATCCGAGCTCGTCTCTGGAGTATGTTAAGATGCTGAGCTTTTCAGAAGCGTCAAGCGCCACTTAAAATCCACTCAAACCCTGACCCTAAATCAGCCATGACTGAGCATAGACCACTAACACGGACAGACCTAAATATGCCAACTAGATCCTAATTTGCTAACGAGGTGACGGTTATCCAAAGTGACTCACTGCAGAACAGTTGGAGTTGAATGGCTAAACCGTTATATATATTTAGATTAAAATATGCTTGATTTATTACAGAAGTTTTTTTTTTACCTTTAACTACTCCCTGAGTCAGCAACGATAGGCCTATTTGTTTTACAAACCTTCAGTACACAAAACTTAATTTCGAGACGATAAATTGCAGTTTAGTAAGTAAATCAGATGTTGATTCACTCACCGCTCTCAGCATTCAGTGAGTTCATTGAGGGAGCAATTGGTCAGACTGAGTCAAACCATTAAAAGAACCTGTTCATAAGAGCCATTCGCTCGTGAATCGGTCACACTGCATTTTTGTTTTTGCTTTTAATTTTCTCTCTAATATTTCACTATACACTTTTTTATCCTATAACATAACATTCACTTCAGACTGCGAGCTCAGAGCTCAGGTAAATTATTAGGGTTAATTATTTTGCTATATTTTTTGCATAATTCACTACTAAATATGATTCTCTGAAATTATAGGCATCTACATAAAGTACACTTAATATTTTGGGGTAAAAAAATAGGATAAATAAGTTAAAAATAACAGTAGTCAACAAAAGCACTTACAAAAGTAACAAAAAAATATATATATTTATATATATATATTAAATAAAAAATCCTTACACTTGTTAGCCTACTCGTTTTTCTTAATGTAGGTTTTGTTGCAGCTATTTTAATCCAGTGCTAGGCTACACCGCGCAACAGACCTGATTTATTTTGCACCACATCCTTTTCGTCTCTGTTTTAACTCGCTTAATTCGTATTTTCTGTACTCTCGAAACAAGGTCTTGTGGTTATGTACCTTGTTTCTCGGCGCTGGTGATGTACAGGATTGCGAGCAGCAGCAGAAGGAGATACAGTGGATGGAAGAATCTCATGGTGATGCTGTGTGAGGTTCGGCCCGAGTCTCCTCAGATGTCTCCGGTACCTCCGAGAGCAAATTCTGTGAATATGCAGGTAACGGACTGTACAAATCCCTTTATGTTTCTGTCGCTCTCAGTATTTTTCTCGGAGCTCGTATAGGATGCCGTGATAGTGGATGCGCATGCAGCTCAAGTCAGTTCTCAGGCCCTCCCAACTTTTCCAAAGTTTCAGATGGCGATATATTCACTCTCTCTTCTCTCTCCTCGGATGGATGGATAGACAGATGACCTGATGAGTGTGAATGTCCAGTCGAGACAATGTAGCTTCACCCCCTCTTTATACAGACAAGAGAAAGGGGGAGGAGAGGGCACAACAGAAGGAGGGGTATGGAAGACCAAAAACTGGGTGGGGACATGGGACATCACACACACACACACACACACACTTTGCATTGCACATATTGACCCCACATGTATTAGGTAACAGAGCTGGCAGAAAGGAGCCCCCTAAACACAATAACTTTTTGGAGATACTTTATGTGTGCAAAAATGATTTGTTTTGTACAGTGGTTACAGATGACAGATGACATATATACCCAAGTAATCTTACTTTTAAATAGACGGATAGATATATAGATAGAAAAAAAGAAAGAAAGAAAAAGTGAAGTGACATGTGGCCAAGTATGGTGACCCATACTCGGAATTAATGCTCTGCATTTAATCCATCCAAAGTGCACACACACAGCAGTGGGCAGCCATTTTTTCCTGTGGCGCCCAGGGAGCAGTTGGGGGTTCGGTGCCTTACTCAAGGGCACCTCAGTC